GGCCACTGCCATCCTCCAGCCTCCGCAGGCTGGATCACCAGAGCCTGCGGAGGCTGAGCTCGCTCACCGAGGCCTGGGGCGGGGACAGGGGAGGGACCCAGAGCCATTCCCGGTGGACCAAGATGCAACCCGCTGCCGCGCCCCCTGCCGCCAGTTCTTGGTACCACTCTAACGTCCTTGTTCCTCCTGAGGCTCACTCCGCCCACGCCGGACCGCATTTGGCAGTGTCCATGTCCACAGGGTCAGGCTGGGTCTGGGTTGGCTGGGAGAGTACCCTCTCCCCCGGCCCCCAAGTCTTGGTTTCCTGGACAGCAGCGATGGGGATGGGCGAGGGAGAGTGGAGGTTCGCAGGGGGACTTGAAGCCACGTTGGTCCCCCTGGGTCCTGCGCCAGCCAAGGGCCCTCTCTAGGTATGGAGAATGGGCACCTGCCCCCGCACCCTGGGCGAGCCTGACCTTAGAGAGGGGCTCCTGGTCGCCCCAGAACGTCTTCTCCTCTTTACGGTCCTTCTTGGGCACTAGGAAGTCCCTGTCCACGTCCAGGGGGTCGAGGGAGGCCAGCAGGTGATCCCGGTGAGTGTCCTCGGTCGACAGCCTGAAGCCGCCTAAGGCTTTCACCACAGTCACCCAGGGCAGCCTGTTGTGCCGCTGCAGCGCGCTGGGGGAGACCACCGGTGGCCTTGGCCCAAGTCTCTGTGGCGCCAGTTTCCAGGTCTTGCCCGGGAATCTCCGGGGGCCTTTCGGCGGGGAGGCCATCTCCAAGCAGGGCTGGCCAGTGGCGCTCGGCAGGCCTGCTTGGGAACGGCGGCGCTATGCTCGTGCCCGAGCCCGGCCTTTTGCACCCACGCGCCACCTGGGGCTCGGGCCTCTCGCCAAGTAGGTGAGAAGAGGTGCCTCCCAGCGCAGAACGGGGTTACGCCCCGGGAAAACTGGCTTCACCTTCTAACCCAAAAGGAACGGGGTCCAGCGCGCAATACCTCCTGCCCTTTGGGCCTTCTTGACTTCTGTCGCAGGGTGACCTTTTGTGTGTTCTTTACCTGTGGACGGGCTGCTGGCCAAGCCAGTGCTCTTCCAGGAGAGGTAACTGGTTATGGATGGCCCCTGACAAATAGGAAGCAGCTGTAAGGGGCAGGTTCGCACAATTTACAGGTAAGAGCAGGAGGGACGTATCTGTCAATGAACCATGGGGCCAGCAGGTGGCGCAGTGCGGGATTCCCACATGGCCGACTGTGATTGGAGGCCTGGACATGACAGCTTGAAAATCACGCTAGAGGCCTGGGCACGTATGTCCAAAATTCCAGGAGGAGAATGAGGAGAGATCGCAGTGTGGCCATCCTCCCTAGGGGAGATGATTTCTCCTTCCTCCCTCTCTCCAGCGAGCAGCCATCTGCTCCCTACGATGTTCTTTTTCACGAAGTTAAAAAACAAACAAAAAAACCTTTGCACTGTGGTTTCTGAGAAAGTCTCAGGCCAGCAAGTGGCCTGGTGGTTAAGGTGCTAGACTCCCACGTGGTCAACCACGGTTCGAGTTTCAGACCAGCGGCTTGAAAATCATGCCAGGCACGTGTGCATGGGGGTCCCAAATCCTGAAAGAATGGAGGAGAGGGGATTGTAGAATGGCTATCGCCCCCTGGGCAGTGACTTCTCACTCTCACTCCCCCCCCCTCTCTCTCACGAGCACAAGTACCCTATGGCAAAAACTTAAAAAGAAAGGTCTCATCAGTGCACATGAGGTGGTCTCAGAGGAGTTACCCAGGGCTGCAGAGCACGGACCTGGAGCCGGCGAGACCCAGACAGTGGGTGCAGCCTCCCCCTCATGTCTGCCTGTCTCAGACACTTTACTGAGGCCCCCTGGGCTGCCCACGGGGCTCCTGGACACCGGCAGCAACCCTGGAAGGGAGAGGCCTTGCACCCAAGCAGACAGCAGGGGGGGAAGGCCACCTCTCACATGTCTTCTCACACATGACCCCGGGTGTGTTGACCCTATCTCTGGACTCCACTCTCTCCACAACCAAACCAGAGGAAAAAAGCCTGCATAAAGTTACAGGGGGAAAAAAATCAATAAGAAAATAGAAAAATTCCACTTTAATTAAACTGCTCAGTCTGATTTTTTTTTCTTCTGACACTAACTCAAGTTAAAAATAGAAATCAATTTCTGCAGCCTTTCAAGGCAGTCTTTGAAATGTCAAGGTTTTTAAAATTATTTTACAGCA